GAGTGGCCGATAGCACCCAAGAGCCACCAGCACTGAAAAGCTGATTTTAAACTCAAAAAGGGGAGATTGAGATGAGATGTGGGGAAGAACTTCTTTGCTGGGAGGGTGGTGAGAGCCTGGCCCAGGTTGCCCAGAGAAGATGTGGCTGCCCCATCCCTGGAGGGGTTGAAGGCCAGGTTGGAGGGGGCTTGGAGCAACCTGGTCTGGTGGGAGGTGTCCTGGCCCAGGGCAGGGGGGTTGGAACTGCATGGTCTTTAAGGAACTGGGTGGTCTTTAAGGAACTGGATGGTCTTTAAGGTCCCTTCTAACCCAAACCATTCCATGATTCTATGATTTTAGATGGGTGAGAAGAGTGTGTGAAGTCCATCCACATCTCCCCATGACCAGCGCACAGCAAGGTTGCTTGGAGAAGAGTTCCCTTTACAGGGCTGAGGTCTTGTAGCTCGAATTTGCCGTGTGGACATGAGCTGGTGGTGAGGAAGGAGACCTCGGACACAGCCAAAATGCCACCCCAACCCAGACTTCTCCCATTGCTTGAGGTATAACGTGTCAAAACAGAAGCGGGGGCCACCAATTTTCGCTCTTATAATGTGCACAGAAGGGTGGGAAGAGTGCCAGGAGGAGCCTGCCTTGCCTTCAGCCAGGCTTCTTCTCTCCTACCTCCCCCGAAATGGCTTTTCCCTGCTGTTAAAAACCAAAAAAAAAAAAACCAACCCTAAAAAAAAAGAGCAAAGCACTGTTTGTTATTGACCCTCGCCTGGGAAGTGTATGAAGAGGGATCAGCTCTGTTTGTTTGTACCCGGTAATGATGTCAGGAAAAGGGTTTGGTTTTTTTTTTTGTGTGTGTGTGGGGTTGTTTTTTTTTTTTTTTTCATTCTTTTCCCCAAGCCTGGTTTGATCCCCTTTTGTTGGAAGTGCCTTTGGTGAGTCTCACACCCTGGTGGCTGTTAGCAAAACAATTAGGTGAACAGTGCCTTGGCTCCAACTGGCTGTCAAAGCCTGAATTGCAATGCAAATGAGCTGGGCTTGAGCTCTTCAAAGCCAGCTGGCTTGGGGAAAATCGTGTCGTGTCCTCCCCTCCCAAAAAAAAAACCTCCAGGAGAAGGGAGGGCTGGAGACAGTGGGCTCCTGGGGGGTGGTGGATGTGTGTTTTTACACGCAGGATCTAATGTGTTTCGCGAGAGGGATGGAAAACGCTGTACAAATATATCACACAAACGCAATATATTACGCCGATATTTTTAATTCTTAGAAGGGGGTTTAGAAGAAAGATGGGGACGGACCTTTTTTTTCTTTCCTCAGGGTGATAGGACGAGGGGGAATGGTTTTAAATGAAAAGAGGGGAGATTGAGATGAGATCTCAGGCAGGAATTCTTTCTTCTGAGGGTGGTTGAGGACCACCCTCCTGGCCCAGGTTGCCCGGAGAAGCTGTGGATGCCCCATCTCCTGGAAACATCCCAGATCAGGTTGGACGGGGCTTTGAGCAACCTGGTCTTGTTGAAGACGGCAGGGATGTGTGACCAGATGTCCTTCAAAGGTCCTTTCTGACCCAAACCATCCATAATTCTAACAGATTTTACTCCTTCTCACAGGTGAGCAGTGACCCTGGTACGTTTTGGGATGGGTTTCTGGTCCAGATGACATTGACCTCCCCGTCAGCAATGCCACCCCACAGCACCACCGACTGTGGGTATCACCCCCTGCTTCAAAGCATCTCCCCATCCCATTTTTCTCAGCTTCTTTATGCTTATTTCTATATTTTCCATATGGGCACCTACATATGGGCTGTTGAACCACGTTTGCAGGGTTAATTAGAGAGCAGTTCTTTATCAGTTCTTTAATATTTAGCACTTGGGAAGGACTTTTCACCTGCGGAGATCACGACGACAGGCCCAGCTCTATGGACGGTGCTAAAGCCCAGGTCCCTCCTCAAGGATGTGCCCGAGGTCACCTAAGAAACTGTGGCAGGGCCAAAAAATTGACATTATGAACTCCTGGACCCCAATCCTCTTCACAGCACACACCACGTTCTGCTTTTTGTCTCTCTGTTTGGGACAATAAAGTCATCACAGTTGTCGAGTCACAGGCGAGGCAAGAGGAACCTCAAATGGGGTAAAAAAAAAGCCCCTCTAAAGATATCACTCTCATTTATAACAAGCTGGAAAGTTTTAAATTTTAAAAAGTATAATGCAGGTATTAATGGGCATGTCCAGCACGTCTTTCACCAGAGACAGGAGAAGGAACTCTTTTAATTTTTATTTTTTTTTTATTTCTCCCCCCTATCGATTCATCGCACGCATCATGGCGGAAAAGGGATGGAACTGAGGGAATCGGCCTCAGTGCATGTGAGGTCACTCTGGAAGCCGGCGAACGAGACCTTAAATTAAAAATGTTCTCAAATTCCCATTTTTCCTGGGATGCAGAAGTGACCGTTTGTAAAAACAACGGGATTTTCTTGCGAAAATCAACGCTGCGGCATTTGATGGGCTGTTTAATGAGCAGCTTACGCTCGTGCTGTTAATTATTTGGAGGTGAAGTGAGGAGTCCCCAGACTCCAGTTTCATAACAAACCTTAAATTTTTGCTTCTAGACACCAGGAAATAATGTTCTTCCCCTCCTCCATTTTTTTTTTTTCCATACAATTTCTCACCAAGGTTATCCCCCTCCCCGGCCCCCAATTAATTATACGATAAAAGGAGTTATTCCTGCGGGGTGGGGGACCTTTTGGGGACTTGTGATGCCCAGTCGCCCTGTCGCCTCCTCCCAGTTTGGGGACACCACGAGGCTCCAGCCTCTTGGTGGCCCAGTTTCCCCATCCTCGGCCGGTTCTGCCTGGCAGGATTGGAACCAGAGGTGTTGGGGGGGGGATCCGTGGTGCCAAAAAGGGTCCCCCCTGGTGGCACCCCCCAAAAAACGGTCCCAGTGCGACGTCCTCATTGGTTCGGGTTGGGGCAAATTGGGAGGATTTTGGCATTTTTCCCCCATCCTTGGGCGACAGGTGATGTCAAAGTGCAAAAATTATTAGCATTAATGCCTTTTTTTTGGTGTGCCGTGCCCAGAATCATAAATATGTATTTTTTTATAAAATTATTATTATTGCTATTATTATTATTTTTATTTTTATGGCTGGATCAGGCCTTAATAATTCAATATTTACAGCAGCTTCTCCAGCACACCCAGGTTCTGGGGGCTCTGTTTGAGGAGGGGGGGGCCAAGCCCTTCCGCACCCGCGCAGCGGGGGTCGCCCCTCCCCACCCCACCCCGGGGGGGCAAGGGATGGAGAAGAAGAAGAAGGAGGAGGAGGAGGGGGGGAGGCAGCACCCCAGGGAGGAAAAGGAGAGGGGGGGGGAAGAACCTTTCAGCAACCCGAGCCGCCGCTTGCGCAAGGCGGTTGGAGATAAATATAATATATATATTTTTTTATTTTT